GGGTCAACCAGTTATTAAGTCCAACGGTTCACATACTTTTTCCTCCCTGCGCTGTGAATGTTTACATGTTATGTTCAATTAAACCATGACAACATGTAATGTTTGTGTATTATTATTTTCAGCAGACTGTGTTTTTCTATTGTTGTGACTTAGATGACGTTCAGAGCACATTTTATGACCAATTCATGCAAAATTCCGCATTATCCCAAGGGGTTCACATACTTTTTCTTGCAACTGTATTTACTAAGCTCGGTCTGGAATATTCAACTGAGCTATTCCAAAGGCAACTTCATAATTTTCTGAATCAATCCCATATTCAAAGTGCCCCAGACCTAATGCCATATTCAGGGTATCCTGAATCACTCTTAGGAAATTTATTTCCGGGAACCACCAATATTTGTCCCACCTTTGTTATTTTTCATAAATAACTCAAGCTGGTGAGCATATCTAATATTCCTGCCTCCTCTTATTTTCCCCACAACCACCGCCCTTGGTTGGGCTGAGAGAGTGGGACTGGCCCAAGGTCACCTAACTGGCTTTGATACGTAAGGTGGGACTAGAACTCACAGTTTCCTGTTTCTAGCCTGGTGCCTTAACCAGTAGACCAAACTGGACCTTTCCCCTTGGAAGAGCATGCCCTGGAAGGGAGCAGAATATTCTGAAGTGGTCCCTGAATTTTGCACACCCTTCATTTTTATGAATGTGCGCACATGCATCTACAGGTAATCCTCAACTTACAACCACAACTGAGCCCCAAATTTCTGTCGTTAAGCAAGATGGTCGTTAAATGGAGTTTGCTCCATTTTATGACCTTTCTTGTCACCCTTTGTTAAGTGAATCACTGCGGTTCTTAAGTTAGTAACATGGTGGTTAAGTGAATCTGGCTTCCCCACTGACTTTGCTGGTCAGAAGGTCGCAAAAGGGGATCACCTGACCGTGGGACACTGCCACGGTCATAAATATGAACCATATTACCAAGCATCTGAATTTTGATCAGGTGACCATGGGGATGCTGCAAAGGTCATAACTGTGAAAAATGGTCATAAGTCAGGTTTTTTCAGTGCTGTCGTAACTTTGAACGGTCACTAAACAAACTATTGTAAGTTGAGGATTACCTGTACATTCTTGGCCTAGATCAGGGGTAGGCAACGTTGGCTCTTTTATGACTCGTGGACTTCAACTCCCAGAATTCCTGAGCCAGCATGGCTCAGCTTGGAAACCTCTCCCTTCCCCTCAGCATGGCTGGCTCAGGAATTCTGGGAGTTGAAGTCCACGAGTCATAAAAGAGCCAAGGTTGCCTACTCCTGACCTAGATGGACACTCTTACTTATAGTTAGAAGTGGATCACAGGCAACACTGATTCTGGATTCCTACCTGTCCAACGGTAACCAAGGCTCCTCTGCTTGATGCCATTGTTCCTCCTGAGAACAACTTCTTCACACCCTCTGCAAAGACAAAAGCCTGGAATTTACAGAATAGGGATTTCCATTAACTGTGTTTTCCGCTTATCCTGAGCAGTTGCAACTCTCCCCCCCACCAAGGCATTCCTCAAGAATAAGACACCTTCTATTACTTCCAAGAAAAGGGAATGGCAGAATATGTTTTTGTTGATGAAAACCCTTGGAAAGCAGAATAAACCAGTCAGCAATATTCATTCAAGACTGGATGTAACGGTTATAAAAAGATTAAACAGCTGTGTTTGAAAAGAAAGATGCCTCGATGAATGTAGCCATAA